CATGTGTTGGGGGCTCAGGCACCTTGGGGTGACTGGGCGCGAGTACTTTCCTGTGAGAGTGTGCGTGTGTGTGTGTGTGTGTGTGTGTGTGTGTGTGTGTGTACGCGCGCGCGTTCGAGCAGGTCTCTAGGGTCATGCATATGTATGGAACATGTCTGTCATTTGTACACTGGGGAGGGAGGGGGTACACCTGTGTGTGACAGTGCTGGGTGAACATGCCTGAATGCCAGGTGTGTGTGCATGCACGCACATGTCTGCATGTCTGGATGTGTGTCCTCAGCAGTGTCCACAGACCGTGTGCCAGAGTGCATCCTGGCCAGCTGTGTCTGGGCCCAAAGATCTAGGCCCTGGTGACAGCACATTCCTTGGCTCCCTGGAGGATGTTTTGTCTCCAGTAGGGGTCACTGCTGCAGCCCCTGCCTCCTGCAGCTGGAGGAAGGCTAGGCAGGCAGGCTCTCCTCTGAAGGTTCTGGCCCTAGTGTCTCTTTATCTCCCACCTCAGACCCTGGCTGGAGTGCAACCTCCCTCTTACTCGTTTTGTTTGGGGTCCTCTGTGTCCCTCACCGGGCCTGTGTATGTGGCCAGTCCTGGGGTTTGGAGATAACAGGCTGGGACAGGAGCTTAACTCCTATCTTCCCAGGGGCCCTGTCTATCCATCTACCTGGCATCCTGCCTTCTACTCAGAGCATGAAGTGGATATGGCTGTTTGCCAAAGAAGGGTGGATGTGGGGACTAGGAGTTTGGTCCAGACAGCAAAGGAAGGGCTGGCAGAGCTGGCACCCTGCTTCTGTTTAGCACTTACTGACACCGTGGCCCCAAGGTGCTCATCTGAAGTGTCTGGGGTGCTAGTCTCTAAAAACTTCATACACACAGAACTATGTTGAACCCTCCCTACTGCCTCAGAAAGACAGAAGCTATAGCTGCGACCCGCATTTTTTTTTTTTTTGGTACCAGAGTGCTTAATCACTGAGCCATATCCCCAGCCCCCCTTTATTATTATTTTTTATTTTGAGACAGAGTCTCCCTAAGTTGCTGAGGCTGGCTTTGACCTTGAGATCCTCCTGCCTCAGCCTTCCAAATTGCTAGGATTACAGGCACGTGCCACCACACCTGGCTTGCAACCCTTGTTTTACAAATGAGGAATCTGATGTTCAGGGATGTGGGTGACTCATCCAGGTTGAATGTTAGGAAGCAGAAGATTGCCCGTCCTCCTGCCTCTCTCTGGATCATGGGGAAAGAGAAAGGACATTGGGGGGCCTGGTGAAGATAGGCCTGGATCACACCTTCCTATCTGTCAACATTTGCTCAGTGAGCAGTGGGGGGCATCATCTGTTTGCCCCCAGATGGTGAAGGGGGGGTAGGGTTGTTTTCCTCCCTCCCCCTGTGTCAGTGAGTGTTCCCCTTTTCCCCAAGGGTGCACACTGACACCCTGCATGTTCCATGGCTACCTGTGTGTTCAGCATAATTCACAGGCACCCACCTACACGCACAGCTATAAAACAACACTTGTCCCACAGGTGCACCTTCCCCTGTCCCTCTCATCTGCAGGGGCTGAGTTCTGCTTACCAGGATGTGTGTGGGTGCCTGAGCCAGAAACCCAAGACTGCACTTTTCCACAGGACCCGCAGGAATGGGTCCATGGTCATGGTCTGGCGGGGAAGGGAGCCCTAGAGGCAGGGCTTCATTCCACAATTCACAAAGAGACAGAAACAGGCCTAGGCACATCCACAGTGGGACTAAGGGAGACACCTCCCTCCCCCAAACCCAGATAGAGAGACAGACTTTGAAACAGATGTACGCATGCATATGCACAGATGAAAATCTGAAACTCAGCTGCAGTCTTTGTTGCTAATTCTCCCCTCTAGCTGCACCCTGCACAGTTCCTCCTGGAGATGACCCTGGGCTGAGGGCAAGGCCCTGGGTGGACACCAAGCTCTTTCAGCCTGGGGCCTCATGTCAGGAGCCCTGGGAGTAGAGGGAGGAGGCTGCTGGAACCTGGGGGTGGGGGGTGGAGCCCACTGGCCTCTTGGTCCAGCCACCCACCCCTGGCATAACGACCTATGAGCCAGGGCCAGCCTGTGGTGCCACTGTCCATGTGCTGCCCAGGGTGCTGTCCGCTGACCCATTCCCACCCACCGTACAGGTGGTACAGAGGATCAAGGCTGTGGAAGGGCAGACACGGCTGCTGGTGGTGGACAAGGAGACGGATGAAGAGCTCCGCCGGAGGCAGCTGACCTGCACTGAGGAGATGGCCCAGCAAGGCCTTCCACCTGCCTGTGACCCCTGGGAGCTGAAGCCCGACTGGACACGAGCAGGCAGCCTCAGCTCTGATGCTGGCCAAAAGGTAAGGTGGTCTCTGCTCCCAGGGCCACACCAGCTTCTCCCAGGGCCACCATCTTGGTCTCTTGATGACAGCCCTTGCTTTTTATTTATTTATTTATTTTTTAGCCCTTGCTTTTTAAAAACAAAACAAAAACAAACAAGAAACCCCTTTATTTTATTTATTTATATGAATCCAGCCCTCACACATGCTAGGCAAGCGCTCTTCCGCTGAGTCTCAGCCCCAGCCCGCAGCCCTTGCATTAGGTAACCTCCACAAGCTTATTTTTCCTGCCTCTTGAGGCCTCTGCTCCAGTGCCCACCATCTGTGCCCCTTGTGACTGTCCTCTAAGCCCCTCAGGCTATTGCTTCTGCTATTAGCCCTCTCCCCTCCAGGCCGGGTGGCTGAGGGGCCCTGGAAGCATTTGCTGGCATATTCCTGGCCCCTGTGTGCTCAGCTCTGTGCCTGTATTGGGTTTGCCTTTGTCCTCCTGAGAAGTCCATGTGTGCTATCAAGGCCTGTAGGGGCTGGCCTCCTTTCTGGCTGTGCCATAGTTGGAGGAGTGAGAACACACTGACCTGGGGACCAGCCTGGATGGGGCTGGGGTGGGCATGGGACTGGGTCTGGGGCAGTCTGCTCAGCTCTGAGCAGTGTTGTCACCTCTGGTGCTGATTTCTGGTGGGGCCTCACAGGGAGTTTCTAGGGTATACCCTCTCTTCCCTTCCTCCATATAAAAGAGGTCACCTAGGAGCCCCCATGCTGTTCCCTGTGCCCTTACTGGGTAGCACCTTACCCTCATCCCTAACCCTCTTCCAGGCCAGGAGACCAGGGAAAGAACAGGAGAGGGCCTGCTCCCCTCCCTAGGTAGCCACCAGGACAGCACCTTGAGGCCAGGAGAAAGGCCTTTTAGAAGCCCTAATATTATTGTCCTTCATTCCCTCACTCTTTTTAAAAAACAAATCCCTTTAGGAGATTTAAGTTAGGAGTTTCCTGTGTTCCCCTTTAAGAACCACTGGCCCGGTTGGGGGAGTTATCAGAGATGAAGTTTCTGGTAGTGAAGGGGACCTTGACATCTGCCTTTTCCCTTTTCCAAATGTCTCCCACTTGAGCTGTCTGTGCCTGTGAGCTGCACCCTGTGGGGCCTGGCTTGGAGTGGGGAGGTAACCTTCCTAGTGGAAAGCCTGGGCAAAGGCCAGGCAGGGGACCCATGGGATGCTCTTGGTTCTCTGTGACTTGAGGGAAAGTGCTAGAGGCACTTAAGTCTAGACCTTGTCCTGGGGCTGCCCATGGTCAACAGTCTTTCAGGAGAGTCCTTGCCGATGGCTGGCTGGCACTACAGGGGCAGCATGGTCCTAGGCCTGCGTTTTTTCCAGCTGAGGACTGGAGCCTCCCTCTTTCCCAGGGACCTTCTCCCTCCTCCCTCCAGAGGAAGCTTCCCCCCCGCCCCAGGCATTTGTCCATTGATTTAGACACAAATGGCTGAGTTCACCTTCCTGTGGAAAAATCCACCCTCTGGCCTTATCTGGAGGTGGGGTGGCTGAGGCACCCTGTCCTTGGGTGGGGCCTTCCCCCTTTTCGCTATTTCAGGCTCTAGGGGCTGCAGGAAACCCTAGGAGGGGGCTTCCTCTGAATTATTTTTAGAGAAACAAAGGGGGGTGCAATAGGCAGGTCCTTCTGTAGATGGGGCAGCATGGGGAAGAGACTCCAGGAGGTCAGGGGAGCCCATGGAAAGGTCACCCCCTGGAAGGAAGAATGGGGCCTCAATGTGACCTCGGCAAGCCAGGCTTAGAGACTGCCCACTTGGGTTGGGTGCAGGGAGCCTGGGAGGACATTGTTTATCTGCAGGGGTTGGTGGCAGAGGGACAGACCTGGGAAGTGTATGTGCATCTGCTCTGGTGCAGTATGGGGTCCCATACTGGTTGCCTATGTGAGGCGAGGGCTGCTCATACCCTTTCTGGGACTCAGTGTCCTCTGCCCTGGGCCAGGGCAGGGGAGAACACTGGTGTGGTCTGTCCCTCCCTTGGGGGTGTGCAGGCGTAGTCAGTGGTGACTCAGCTCTGGCCACACTGGGCCGGGGGTGGCTGCAGCTGCAGTGCAGCTGATCCTAGCAGTGACGACAGGGACAGCCCCCAGACAGGACAGATAGTGGTGCCAGGGCCAGGAAGGCAGTGACAGACCCTGGCCCTCTGCCTCCTCATCCCCAGCCATGCCCCAGTGCCCTCTTTGGAGGACTTTGATGGCAGACCTTGTGAGGATAACTGGGTCTTGCAGGTGGCTGCAAGGTGCAGGATGTAGTACCTATAAGAGAGCTTCTGGGCTCCTTGGGTCCTGCTGCTGTCTCTGCTCCTGTGAGGCAGAGCTGGCCTGTCTTCTGTCCCCCTCCCTTGCATCTCTGCCTCCCCATCCCTGGGTCCTGGAGCAGGGCAGGACCACCCTTGTGTCCCCCTCCCTTGCATCTTTGCCTCCCCAGCCCTGGGTCCTGGAGCAGGGCAGGGCTGTCCAGCAGCTTCCTTCCTTCCCTTCTTGGGACGGAAACACAGCCGGGTGAGGGAGCGCCGGGCTGGAGCCTTGGCAGGGGAGGGGGCTTGGTTACCACCCCATTCCCCAAAGTGACTCAGCCCCCATGTCCCCACCCATCCCTTGGGAACCTGGGCCGCAGCAGGAGGTAGATAAGTGGGGTGGCAGCCTGGGCTGGCTGCAGAGCTCAGGCCACTCCGGGCCAGATGCCGGCTGCCTGCCACTCCTGTTGTGCCTCTCATGGCCCGCTCCGGGAATGCCACACCACCTGCCCGGGCCCCAGGAGCCCCTCCACAGAGCCCACCCTGGGAGCTTGTGCAGGTCAGGTGGGGTAGGGGCAGGGCTGGGCTGTGAAGACCCCAGGTGATGGAAAGGGGACTTGGGGAGCTTGTGTAAGTAGGCTGAACCTTATGCAACAATGGGGGCCTTTCTCTGCCAGGATTGGTGAGTCATCATCTAGGGGGGCACAGCCTGGCTCCCAGGGTACCCCCATGTCAGTCTCTTTGTCTGGTCACAGGGTTAGTGGGGGGACCAGGGTTTGACAACTCCTGGTTTGCCCAGCTCTGTGGTCATCAGGCTTGGAGTCCGTGGGAGCCAGAGGGCCTGGCGGGAGGGAGGCGGCAGGAAGCATGCAGGAGCCAGGGCAGGGAGGAATGTTAGCAATGCACCCCTCCCACTTCTCTTGGCCCCCCACACTTGCTTACTCTGTAGCCACCCCCCTCCACCCTGCGGGCTGCCAGCTGGGGCCCCCTGATTGCAGTTTTTCTACTTGAGGGTCTGGTGCCAAGACTGATGCCTCTTGAACCTGCTTCTAATGAGAGGAATTTAGGTTAATGTTAGAAGGAACCTCTTGGCCTGAACAGTGAGGCTGATGTTCTGGAGTGAGGCAGGGGGATGGCCAGAATGGCCCTGAGAACATGGATGTGGCCTCATGGCCCCAGATACCCGGCCAAATCCTGCTTCCTGTTTGGGGGCCTTGAGAGACCCCGCCCTGCAGGCCACTGCAGAGGCCGTGGGAAGAGGCTGCAGGGGCCAACACCATGGGCTCTGCATTTGTCTGTGTGGGAGGCTGTGTGTCCATGAAGCGGATTTATGAGTGTGAGATTGGGTGTGATGGGCCTGCATCCTGAGTTCCATTCCACACACAGCCATGTCACACTTCCATGCTCTGCCTGCTCTGCCCTCCTTTGCACCCTGGCCTACTGGCTGCTCCAGATTGTGCTCTGACAGAGTCCCTGAGGGGCACTTCTGTGGGGAAGTGTCAAGGTCCTGACCCAGAGCTCCATACCTGTACCTCTGGATGTGTCTGGGAGAGAGGATGAGTCTAGGTGGTGGGGTCCTGGAGATTAAGAGGTCTCACATCCCTGAATTCAGTCCATGTTGCCCAGATGGGGGATTGAGGAGCAGGTGGTGGTCATACAGTGAGGATTCAGAGGGTGGGCAGGAGATGCAGACAAGGGGTCTGGCCAGACTTTGGGGCCAGGGAAGGGATCCTGAGTGGGTGTAGGCTGGGCAGGAGGAGGGTGTTCAGAAGAGGAAAGACAGCATCTTACTCAGAGACAGACACTCCCACAGTGGGAAGCTGCCCAGACATTCCCAGTCAGACTTGGGGTTCAGTATGAGCTCTAAGACTGGGCAACTGGAGTGGTCAGGGGTGGTCTGGGCTTCAGTGGAACAAGTACCTAAGCCTTAGAGACCTTCCTTGTAATCTGAGGGGCACTCCCTTCACTTTGCAACCAGCCCTAGTCTGTTCCACCGACCCTAGTATGCTGGAAGGTGGAAGGTGGGGGAAACACCCTGGTGAGCACCCTCTGGCCACCACACTCTCACCTGAACAAGTCCTCAGAAACCCGAGCTGCTACCCGCCCACTCACCCCGGCCACCTGCCATGTGTAACTGAGCACCCGCAGCCGCTGGCCATTCAGTGCTACAGTCACTGCCCTGGCCCCTGGCTGGGTCTGGGTGGGGGGTCATTGGATTGGCCCCTGCCTGCATAGGCCCTGGCCCCGAGCCCTACTGCAGGATGCCAGAGGTAAAGTGAGGCAGGGCCCTGTGGTGGTGGCGGGGGTTCCCTGTGTGTATTCTGGGTGCTTCTGTATCACTGGCAGGGAGGCAGGCCCTGGACCTCATCTCCTGCCCCAGCCCCTTCTTCCTGGGCTCTTGTTGCGGGCGGGGGCAGTTGGGGGCAGCTCTAGTTTGTGCTGGAATGTGAAAACAAACAGCATCACAGCCACAGCCACCGCAACCAGCCTCTCAGAGGTCAGGGAAGAAAAAGCAGCTTTCCAGGCTTGGGGGCAGGGAGGGAGCCAGGCGAGGACTGTGGGCACAGACATCCATCCCACAGGCCTCTTCCTCCAACCCCAGTCAGTGTGCAGGGCTGCCTCAGGCTGATGGATTTTCCCAGGGCTTCAGCAAGGCAGATCTGCCATCAGAAGTCTTCACGTTTGGAAGCTTTAATTTCGCCCAAGATCTCTTAGCTAGAGTTCAGTCACAGGCAGACTGAATCACTGAGGCACATGGAATGTTGTCACTGAGCTCTGGGGCTTGCCATGGGGGCATGATGCTAAGTTTAGGACTTGACAGTGGGCGGGACCCAGTGGGCATTTATGGGGGCTGAGAGGCTGGGGCCAGAGCCTGATCCTGTGCGTTGTGTGCCCGCAGGATATCAATGGGGCCCCCAGAGAGCTGCGCCCTCGGCTCTGCCACCTGCGAAAGGGACCCCAGGGCTATGGGTTTAACCTGCACAGTGACAAGTCCCGGCCTGGTCAATACATTCGCTCTGTGGACCCAGGCTCACCTGCTGCCCACTCTGGCCTCCATGCCCAGGACCGGCTCATTGAGGTACTATGCCTGAGGCTTCAGTGTGTATCTGAGTGACCTTGTCCTTGTATGTCTGCATGTCCCTGTGTGTGTGTGTCCCTGCCTGGACCCTAAGTCCTTGCAGGAGTAGGGGAGACACTGGGAACCTGAGCTGGCACTCCTCTTGCTGGCTCCGCTGGTGGTGGCTTTGATGAATATTTGATGGCACACTTGGCTGGATGTGGGGCTGGCAGGGCCCCTCAGGCCATGCTGACCCTGTCATGGTGGCAGGTGAACGGGCAGAATGTGGAGGGGCTGCGCCATGCTGAGGTTGTTGCCCGCATCAAGGCACGGGAGGATGAGGCCCGGCTACTGGTGGTGGACCCTGAGACAGATGAACACTTCAAGCGTCTGCGGGTGACACCCACTGAGGAGCATGTGGAAGGTGGGCCTCTGCCCTGGGGTGCAGGGTGTGGTCAGTGTAGGACAGACAAGCCACTGACATGCTATCCCCACAGGTCCACTGCCATCACCAGTCACCAACGGGACCAGCCCTGCCCAGGTGAGAGGATGGGTCCAGGCAACCACAACGGTATCTCTGGGGCCCCAGGCCTGATGGAGGCCCCCTCCCCTGGAGATCTCTGCCCTAGAATAGGTGTGGTTGTGAGACCCAAGTCTGGCTCAGGCATTCCAGCTTTAATGCGCACTGAGGATCCCTTCTTGGGTCAGCGCCATGCCCTGGTCACATAAAGAGTGCTGGCAGGTGGGTACCTGTGGTCCAGGGCCACTGTCCTCTGTGTTCCTTCTCCCTGCACTACCTAGCTACTGAGTCATCCCTCAGTTCCCATTTCCTGGGAAGGTGGTCCTGGCTTCACCCCCGGTGACACTTGTGGAGCTGATTCCCACACCACAGCTACCCTTCCCACATAGTGGCTACCTGTCTGTTCATAGCTGGGGTGCCCAGCACCCTGCCCAGTGGTAGAGACATGCTGTTTCTACCAAAAGAGGAACAGATGCAGCTGTGGTGTGTGTGCAAAGTGTGCACAAGCATGTGTGTGGCTCCCTGGGTGGGGTCCCTGAGGCCATGATTGCCCTTGGTTTCCCAGCTCAATGGTGGCTCAGTATGCTCATCTCGAAGCGACCTGCCAGGCTCGGACAAGGACACTGAGGTAACTCTGTTACCACGCTCACACAATGGGGTGCCAGAGGCCTTGTGGGTGGGTGTCTGTGGAGATATCGGCTTGGGCAGTGGGGCCACCACCTTCAGGAAGGCCTGCTGAGCCTGCTGCCCCACCCTACTAAGCAGCCTCTGGCTTGAGCTCCCTGGGAAGACTGCCCAACTGTGGCACCAGTCTAGGGCTTACTGTTGGCACCCTGCCTACCCTCAGGACGGCACTTCCTGGAAGCGGGACCCCTTCCAAGAGAGTGGCCTCCACCTGAGCCCTACAGCAGCCGAGGCCAAGGAGAAGGCTCGAGCCACACGTGTCAACAAGCGGGCACCGCAAATGGACTGGAACCGGAAACGTGAGATCTTCAGCAACTTCTGAGCCCCTTCCTGCCTATTTGGCCCCTGGGCCTCAGGCCCCATCCAGAGCTCCCCAGGCCTCAGTGGACTGGAGGGTGGTTTCACCACCTCCAGAAACCAACCTGTGCCCCAGTGAGTCCCTTCCTGCCCACTCCCCACCAGGTGCTGGGTCCTGCTGCAGCAATATGGGGGAAAGAGAGACAGTGAGAGAGAGAGAGAGGGCAGAGTGTTCGTGGCTGAGGGCCTTTGCTGTCCTGCCCCGAGGCCTGCTGACTGCAAGGAATTCATGTTTTTGCTTTTTTTCCAAAAAGATTTCCAGCTCCACACATGTTTCCACTTAATTCCAGAGTCCCCTTCCCCCGCCCCCCTTGGGACTCACTCTCTAAATAATTGCAATAAAACAAACCTTTCTCTGCAAAACATTTCCTCCCCACCCCCTCAGCAGCACCATCCTGCGTGGGAGCCCAGGGACTTCTAGGGGACAGAGAGTCAGGGGCTTCTAGGCTGTGCTTATGCTGGTTTTGGGGAAAGACTGGGGAGTAGGATGTGCCTATAGGTGCTGCCTGTTCTGCCTCAACCCTACCCTCCCTTGAGTGGGGGAAGTCAATAGGCCAGGCCCCCTCCAGCCATCCCTGCATTGTCCCATCCCACCAGGAGTGTGGAGTGCAGGGCCTGGGCTAAGGGGCCCGAGGATAGAGGCCCCATGCCCCTAGGAGGGTGGCAGGGTGGCCTCTGGACAGGTCCCTCTTCCTGTACCACAATTCCCAGGCCTGGGGAATTATGAGCACGCAAGAGCTGCTCCTAGGAAGGACCCTGGGCTTCTGGGCTGGGCCCCAACCTGGTGCCCACTCCCAGGGACATCCTGTCCACTCTGCCCTTTCCTTGGTGCCCTGGACCCCTGAACCAACTGACCAGCCCCGCTCTTTGCCTTGTAAGCCATAGCGCACGTGCGCCCTCAGAATAAACAGGACTTGCCTCGATCCCGTGTCTTTCCTCAGTCTTCGGTTGTGGGGTGGAGGAGTGAGGCCCATTCTAGGGGACTAAGAGACCAAGGCTGCTGCTCTGAGTTCCTGCTCCCATTTGGGGCCTCCATACCTCTAGGACCTCTCTCAGTTCCTGTGGCACATTCTGGGCCCATGCCCCCGCCGCCCCCAAACACACACACCTGGCAAGGACCTGATTCCCTTCACCTCCTATTAGGACATCTGGGCTTGTGATATTCCACGTATTCCCCTTTGCCTTGCACAGGTCCCTCCACCTCCAGCAGGTACACACAGGTCAAGCCTTGGGCTCTGGGCTAGGTGGCTCTGTATATGTGGTGGGGAACATGCAGAGGCTCCCAGGGAACACCTGTTTCAGGAGTAAGCGGAGTCTGGGTAGAGAGGCCTACAGCCCACGGGTGAAGGAATGTGCAGGCCACAAGGACACCTCCCCAGTGGCTTCCCAGCAGCTGACTACAGCTGGTACTTACCACATCCTACCTCCTGGGTTCATGTACGCGACTCTCCCCGCCCCCACTAAGTACAAAGCATGGCCTCCCAGTAAACCCTGCTTCAGACACGCATATGTATGCATACACAGGTTCTTTCGCTTGCTCTTATACCTCAGGGACAGAAGTCAGCCAGACCCCAACTGCAAATACTTCCCCGCTTTATTTCACAGGCTGCACCCCACACCCCCGAGCAAGATAACAAGGCACTTCACAGATAGAAGCCAAAGCAACACAGCCTACAGCCCTCAGAGGCCCTGGGCAGTGGGGCACAGGGCCTGGTTGAGACAGGCCTGGCAGCGAGGGTGGACAGGCAGACAGGTCTGCTGGCCAAAACCCACCAAGAGCCCATTGATCTCGCTCCACAGCTCCCTGTGGGGATAGAAGCTGGGTTAGCAAAGAGGGAGAGATACAAGGCCCTGCCTACAGGGACCCCACCCTGCCTTACCTGGGCAGCCACTCTTCCAGGGCGGCTCGGGTTGCCTCTGGGGACTTGGTCGGCCTCTGGGTCCATCTCAGTCGGTTGGCGATTCTGTGCACATGTGTATCCACTGCTACTTGGAAATGGGGTGGGGTGAACAGGGTCACACACTGCCAGATGGACGGTGCCCCTTGTCCCTCCCCATATCCTTGAAGGCATCTTTTGGCTGAGCCCCCAGGCCTCCAAGCGGGGGGGGGGGACGGGGGGACTACAGAACCCTGGCTTCAGGTATGAGAGCAGCTGCTGCATCTTGGCTGCCAAGCTGGACCTGGAGTTCTCTGGAAGAGTGTGGGCAATTCCTTTAGGCATCCTTCCCATCACTGGGAGTGCCTAGGGGGTTCTCTGCTTTGGGCTGACCCATTCCCACCAATCCTGGTGTAGTTGGGAAGGTGGAACGGTATCTGCTTTAGGCTATGTATCACCCCAAAATGGTAACAGCTAGCTGGGGGTCAGACTCTGCACCAAAAGATCTACCAGTCTCAGCTCAGTAAATCTTTTCAAGGCAAAGCTGAGGCTGGGCAGGATTCTTACTCTGAAATGCTCTCTAGGGTTGTAGCTCAGTGGTAGAGGCATGCTTAACATGCAGGAGGCCCTAGCACACTAAACAAAACAAAGAAACAAACACAAACTGTGTGTACTCTTAGCCTGCAGCCTCTCCAGGACCAAGGGCTGACCCAGGAAAGGCCCTGCCTTTCTGCCTCTGCTTTATCTCCCTGTCCAGGCACTGGCTGCAGGCACCAGGTGGCGTGGCAGTGGCTTGGCTTGGTAGGCTGGCCTGAGGTCACTGCTGTAGAGCCAGCACCTACCACTACATGGGTCAAGGACAGAACAGGGAAGGCAGCCTGGTCTACTGCAGCTGCAGTCCACCTGGGCTTCAGCCCTTGCTCCTGTCAGCTGGCCACTGCAGGGGCTCAGCCCAGCTCCCCTGGCAGCAGTAGCCATGGCCCTGCTTCTCCAGGGCTTTGCCAGTGAAAGGCAATCCCTGCATCTGCTCCCTTGCCTTACCGCTAACTGCCTGGGGGGCAGGCAGAGCAAAAAGGCTAAAGGCTCCCGTCCTGGGGTTTCCTCCTCTGTAAGAGAGGTGAGCATGCTCCTTAGGACACGGCATGCAAGTCTTTGGTGTATCTGTGTGATTAAGGAGGGCTACTGCTTTACCAGCTTTGAGTCAAAGCTCAGAGAGGCCAAGTACTTGACCTGAGATTGCTCAGGTGGGAGAGGCACAACTAGAACCTGCTCCTGGACCCCATGGCTCTGGCTTTTCATTTTAAAATTATTTTATTTTTTACAGTGCTGGGAATTGAACCCAGGGGTGCATTATCACTGAGCTACATCCCCAGATCTTTTGATAGGATCTTGCTAAGATGCCCAGGCTGGCCTTGAAGTTGTGATCCTCTTCCCTCAGCCTCCTGAGGGTTACAGGTTTACATCACACTGCACCTGGCTCCCAGCCTTTAAAAATTCTGACAGGAGGGGCTGGGGATATAGCTCAGCTGGTAGAGTGCTTGCCTCGTATACAGAATGCCCTAAATTCAATCTTTAGCACCACATACACACAAAAAATATATATACTGAAGGCTAGGGATATAGCTCAGTTGGTAGAGTGCTTGCCTTATATGCACAAGGCACTGGGTTCAATCCCCAGCACTACAAAAAAAAAAAAAAAGTTTTGGGTTGGGGTTGTGGCTCAGCGGTAGAGTGCTTGCCTAGCATGCACAAGGCACTGGGTTCCATCCTCAGCACCACATAAATGTAAAATAAAGATATTGTATCCACCTAAAGCTTAAGAATAAATATTAGAAAAAAAATTGAGACAGTGTCTCACTAACTTGTTCAGGTTGGCCTTGAATTTGAATTTGCAATCCTATTACTTCAGTCTCTCAAGTAGCCAGGATCACAGGTATGTACCACTAAGCCTGGCTGGCTCTGGCTTTTTAACTGCCTCCCCTAAAAGGCAGGTCAGGTCTTCCTGCAGGGAGGGTGGCATCCTGACATTCCTGTTGTCTGCTGTTCCAAAGCAGTCCCTGTCTGGGCCATGGGCAGAAGCCCTTCCCCCATCTAAGTGCCCAACTACAATGCACTACTCCTAGGACACGGGCAGCTGAGGACAGTGCCCAGATAAGCTCAAGTATCTGGTGAGAGGTGGCAGTGGTACTGGGAGTTGAGGTAGGGGTGGGGACAGACACACTCCCGCCCAGGCCTGGCTCTTCCAGGGGTTGCTGATCTCCAGCCTCACCAGGTGGTAATCAGCTCCCAACCAAAGCTCTGGGCCCCTAGCTACCCTCTTCCTCTCCAGGGAGTGCTGGGAGACACTGTCAGCTCAGATACCTGCCAGAGGATATTCCTCTGGGCTGGATAGGAGTTCCAGAGAAGCCTGGGGTCAGGGGTATACAGAAAGGGTAGGTCAAACCCTGGTTTCTGGGCAGGTTGGCCCCGTTATTATGCAAATGCAGGAGTCCCAACTCCCTGGGCAAAGCTTCAAGAAGAAAGCAGCCCATGGTGGGCACAGTGGCATATGCCTATAATCCCAGCAGCTCAGGAGGTTGAGGCAGGAGGATCACGATTTCAAAGACCCCATCAGCAATCCCCGATACCAAAAAACGGAGAAGAAAAAGAAGAAGAAAGCAGCTCTGGGGTGGTGGTTAGGGTCCATCTTGGTGCCCCAGGGAGTTCTGTCTTCACCTAGCTACACAGAGGACCCTCTAGTGCCAGGAGGCAACACCCAGGAAGGCCCCCCAACCCAGTCCATCCCCAATCCCAGGAGACAGCCAGCCATTCTTCCTGAGCCCCACTGCCTCCTCAAACTCTCTACCTGGCCATCTCACTCCTGAGCTTCTCTGTCCTGGCCTCTCTCACCTCATAGCTTTGGAGACACAGTTCCTTCTGTCTGGAATGTGCTTCCTTCTCCTGGCCTGGCTTATCCTGCCTTACCCAAAGCTCTCAGCTGCCATCGTCCCAGGACATCTTCTTAGATGCTCCCAGCCCGGGTCAGCTTCCACAGCAAATGCCATGCCCCAGGAGTGCTGCCACCACAGGTGAGGCCTTCCTTGCCCACTGTCCCTAGTATGTACCATGGGCCTGTGGCTATCTCCAAGGGCCCCTTACAGAGTCCAGCACATAGTAGGTGCTCAGTAAATGTGAGTTCCTACCATGAATACCCACTGCTGGGTGGTGCTGGGTGGCTTAGCACAGCAAACACCTTTCTGACCCTTTGGGTTTAGTC